ATCATATACAAAAAAGGCATACATTAGGGAAAGTATGCATATATCATGGGAAGAACATGTACAAACGTTTTTATGAGTTTTCATGCAGACTTACTGGGAAAGATAGAAGAAATCAATGCTCAAAAATGGTGATGAGTTACCCATATTTATTGGGATCCCGATGTAAACTATACTTATTGGCCAAACTAGACAAGTAGCTAAAAGATTTACAATCAGATTTCCTATACATGCTGTTCTTGTTGTTTTGCTCAGAATCAGTGTGCCATGGTGATTATAGTACTTTTTCCAAATTTTTTTGATCCAAAAAAAATCATATACAAAAAAGGCATACATTAGGGAAAGTATGCATATATCATGGGAAGAACATGTACAAACGTTTTTATGAGTTTTCACGCAGACTTACTGGGAAAGATAGAAGAAATCAATGCTCAAAAATGGTGATGAGTTACCCATATTTATTGGGATCCCGATGTAAACTATACTTATTGGCCAAACTAGACAAGTAGCTAAAAGATTTACAATCAGATTTCCTATACATGCTGTTCTTGTTGTTTTGCTCAGAATCAGTGTGCCATGGTGATTATAGTACTTTTTCCAACCAGCTGGACTAAAGTTCCCATTATTCCAGGTTCTAAAGGGGATCTTTTGGGGGAAAGCTGATTTAGAGAGTTTAGTTAAGCTTGGGAGACCTAATTTCTGCTGAGAAGCTACTCATGATAATGCAGGAGTTACTGCCTATCAAACTAACAATCATTAAAGGGCTATTGTGAGGATCAAACTAAAGGGAAGGAGAAACCATATCTCCTATCATGAACTTCTGCAAGAAAGGATAGTAATCCACCTGCAATAATCAAACAAAAGTAAACCTTCCCCTAAAGCAGACATGGGAGGCTAGATTCAGTTCCGAGGCAAATCCAAGCCAACTCACCTGGCCAGTGGGTGACATTAGCAAATGCTGCTTAATGAACTCACAGTACCAACAATGTCCTCTCCTAAACCCCATCCCTGACATTATTAGTTTTTCCTTGCTGGAAGAGTAGCAGATGCAGAGAACAACAGCTTGTCTGGCATGTGCCTTTCTTCCAGTGGGGAAGATCCCTGCTGGAGGAGCCAGCAGAAGCCACCCCATACCTTTCTAGATCAGAGAAATTGCAGGGCAGCTTCTCACAATCCTGTTGGTTTTGCCCATGTCTTCTACTCCTCCCACAAGAACCCTGCAGGAAATATGCAGTTATCTTCCCAAAGGAAGCTTCTTGATTAAAAGAAAACAGGTCAGAACAAATAAGCAGGGAGCATTTTCCTTAAGGAGTTATCTAACCAAACACTTTAAATCAGCATTTCTCAACCAGCATGCTGGTTGGGGAGTACTGGGAGTTGAAGTCCACACATCTTAAAGTTGCCAAGGTTGAGAAACACTGCTTTAAATGATATTAAACCCTTCAAAGCTTGGAAATCCTGTGTCATCTGGTACAGTCTACACATCCCTAGCATTTAGGGCAATTTTTAATTTACACATGGCTCAGCTTCACAGTGTTGCACACGCCTCCTCTCCTTTTTGTATTACTGTATTCACAACTTAGGAGTGAAATAACATCAGATAATAATTTAACTGAATAAGAACACTTGTTAAACCTTAATAACCGACCAATCTACTATGGCATAATACAATTCATGATGACATAATACATTTGTTAATCTTCAACATGCTGTAAAACATTTGGAGCTTGTGGGGAGGGGGGGCAGGTATGCTGCACAAAATTTAGGTGGTTGTTTCTCCAGAAAGCATTGACTAAACAGTTACCATAGTGAGCAATTAACCACATAGGGAGCTGTTATGTAACACCTCTTTGCGTTGTGAGGAGAATATTACACTTCCACATAGTCCAGGGAAACAGAGGTGTTAAAATTCTCCACATCATAAAAGTTGGCACATTGGCATATACATAAGCAGTTCTCCATGTGGCTGTATGCATAATCTGTTTTCTTGAACATGCTGCAAGGATTACTTATCATTGTATTTCTTAGGAGACTCACGCTGAGCCACTGGACCCTGAATGCGATAACCCAGGATGATGGCAGCCTTCTGGATATCCACTCTATTAATCAAATCTGATGCCTTCACAGCACTGAGCCTTTCTCCATCTTGATCTTCCACAAAATAGACCAGCATAATGGGACTGTCGGCCTCCTCTAAACGTGACAAATTCACCATCTGAAAAGGCACAACAATCTCAATTAAAAAGCATGCACTATACTAGAAATTCCAGTCCTTATAACTGATATTATGGAGTGCTAAAAATGTGAGGACTCCATTTTCATTATTTTTTGCCATCCCATTCTTTTTGGGTCATTGTCTACTTGAGTGATAGCTATTGACTGTGTTTGAATGTCACATAGTTTAGCAAAAAGATCCACAAAAAAAAAAAAAGATATTTTTTGGACTGGTAGGGTTTTGGAATTTTGGAACATATTGTGAATGCTGTAGCAAAATGGATACCAAAGGAGGGGCTTATCCATTCATAAAATCACAGGGAATATTGCCAGTTTCACCAGAATGTATGTGCACCCCCCTCTAGCGGCACACTCCCAATCACTGCTTACATTTTTTCTTTTTTACAGGCAGGTGAATGTGCCTCCAAACAGAACATTGGTTTACAATCACCCATCATTCTTATTTTTTGTTTGGGAGCCAAAAGTAGTCTTGGTTGGAAATAAAGATGGTGATAAAAACTGCTCTCTAACTTTGCAGTGTTTCCATTTTTTAAATTAAAAATATAAAAATCAGGTGGGGCGGCGAGACCAAAGGTCACTAAAAATTGCGGTCCATAGGCACAGTGGAGCCACTTTGAGGATTCAGAGCTTAGCATGATGTAAATGAGCCCCAGCAAGTCTTGGGCTTCTATGCTGTGTCCTACCTCTTCAGCATGGTAGGGCAGAAGACCTGGGCACTCTTGCTTCCATTTTTATTTCACTACTTAGTTTTACTATTTATTTGATTTATCCCACCCTCTGTTTTGTCCAACAGACCAACTTCAATTAATATTAAGTATGGCTTGTTTGAAACAAGCTTATCTGAAACCACTATTTTAAAGCTGGAGTCCCTAATTTACTTCTTACAACACCAAAGTGAACACATATACCTTCCTTGATGCCTAGTTGGTTGCACATGACTTTTAATTTTATAACCCACCCAGAGTCTTTTGAGTTGGGCAGGGTATAAATACCACACACACACACACACACACACACACACACACACACACACACA